TTTGTTAGTACTGTGTAATGTTCTTTTAACAGATGACAATGATTTATTTCTACTTCGATGAATGATTAAACTAATCAGTGAATTGCTGGAGAGATGCTTTGTTGAATTAGTCCCATATTCAATTGGGAGTCTTTAATCTATTGCTCTGTGTGCTTATTTGTCATTGAATTTGCAGGGGGATGTACAGGTTCTTCTTTTGTTTACATGAATATGAAATAGAACATCTTCTTTGATTATCAGTGGAATTTCGTTGTTTTAAACCAGGGAAAATGAGACAGTGGGGCCTTTCTGTCTTTGATTTTGTTTGGAGATGCCTTTAAAAAACCACTTTATGCAATCCTTTTAAAATTACTTGACTTACTTTTAAAGGGAATTCACTCTGCTTATTTCCAATATGCAAGGTGCTTTTAATTAAGAGTATTTGCAAATTCTGTGGTAATGATTTGTTAAAAATCGGGAAGAGTTGGTGATTTATTTGTACATTTTCTCTATTACCCTAATAAACCAATGCTGCACTGTTTTTATTAGTCCACCCATAAGACTCTAGCCATTCATGAAAATTCTATGAATGAAGAAAATAACAAATATGTTGACAATGAAAATAACAGAGTTTCAGGAAGCTAATATTAGTGGAAATGCTTTTGTAACAACTTTACTGTCCAAAGTCAGCATTCATTAGGCCAGCTTACAGTTCTAAGGAGAAAAACAACTGAGTTTTCTTGAGCATCTAGCATAAATGACAGCTGAGTTCCTACAATGTGAGAACTTTCACGCTGTCAATATGAACTGACAATTTGCCTAGCAAAGAGTTATGCTGTGGGAGGTAAAGAAGAAAAGCATGAGAAGGTTTTTGTGAGTCCTGTAAAACAGATTTTGCTGGTGATAGAAACCTAGAAGCCAACTTGGGTTTACTATATAGTATTATCTCCTTAAAACTGAAAATTGACTCTTATTGAAATTACAATGTCCAAGTCTATTTTACAAAAAGAAAAAAAAGTAAAACCAGTTTAATTCTAGAACAAGTTATATCATTATTATAACCTTTGACCCCAACAACATTAAAAAAATCTAAAGACATATCACCCACACCTACACCATGAAGACAGTGTGAGATCACTTGGTATGAGGAAACAAGTCATTGTTGGAGTTCATCTTTGATGTTATTTACTCTTACGGGAAAAAAAATAACTCCAGGTTTTGATAATTAATTAAGTATTAAATCCAACCTTAAACCCACAGTGCACACTCTGACAAACAGGCAGTTGGAACAGCTAGAGGATGCAGGGAAACATCTCGAGAGCCCAGTGGTGATGTATTTCCACAAACTGAGTAATTCTACTGTATCTGAGGGCTAAAACTACCTTTTGGTTAATTGTGTTGTAATTTTGCTTAAGCTGTTTGCACCACCTATTTTGGACAGCCCAAAGGAAGGAATGAGCTGAGTGCTTATGGGAAGTCACAGAGTGAAGCCCACAGCATTTTAGCTTTGAAGAACCTCTAAGTGCCATCTGTCCCAGGAGCATCCTTTGGATGTGGAGGGGAGGGAAGTGTGCCATAGCACCAAGGTCCTGCAGTAGGTTGGCTATGCTGCTGCTAACTTGATTACAGGATGGTGATTTTCCAAAAATTTAAAAGCCCTGGAGCCTGTTTCTCTGAAAGAGGGAAAGGAGAAATGCCTTTTGTAGAGAGAAAAAAAGGAGCCGTATGTTTTATCCTTGCTTATGGGCAGCACTTGAATTTCAGACTTGTATGATTTCTATGTGACCAGTCAGTTTGTGTTTGTTTGGACAAAGAGTTCCTGAAATGATCCTGCAGTCTCAGCAATAATACAGATCTGTGATTTAAATGTCTGAAGAAAAGTCACATGCAAGATAACAAATGCAGGTTTCTCCCAGGTCATCCTAAGCAATTGCTTGCTCTTCATTAAGCTCAAAGCAGCTGAAATGCCACCAAGCAGCAAGGACACTTAATCCTTTGGCCTTTACAACCCCTCACACCCCATCACTGGACTGTGTATTTTGCTTTATGTGTGTGGAAAGTTTATAAGTATGGTCTTCAGCAAAATGGATCTGTTGAACATTTTAAGCTAAATGGTGGCGTGTAGACTCTGTCTAATGTCTGTGCCATGTCCTGAATTTTCAGTACTTTGCTAGGTGAGGCAAAAGTGTCTGAGGGCTCCTGTGGGCATCGTGGCTTTTTGCAGAGAGCTGTATTCAGCCTGTTTTTTCTCCTGTGTCCAGAGAGCGGGTAGATTTCTCCACAAGTTAGGCAGAGGGACAACCACCATGGTGGGTTTATCTGCCCCTCCTACTTTCCTCTGGCTCCTTCATACCACCTTCTCAGCCCTTATCTTGTTCTTCTGCTTTTTAGACTCTCTGAAGTGATATCTAATCCCTCAAGATTTGATCCAAACTTGGCAGTTATTTTGTTGTTAATCAGTAGCTATAACTAGGCAGGTGTGATAAGTAGTGGCATTGTGAGACTTGGAGGTTTGGTCAATCCTTTGTTTTAAAGAAAAGGGAACACAATCCCAAGATGAATGGCTGTTTGGAAAAGAGCCACTGGCAGTGAAGTCAGCAGGACTGAGCAGCAAATGGGGGAAAGGTAATTCTGGCAGTGGGGGATTGCAACCACCAGCCCATTGACCACCTTCTAAAAACAGAGAGAACTGTGCATGCAGACTAATTAGCATGAGAAGCAAGAGATATAGTTAGCAAATAAGGATTGGAGTAGATTTGAGTCCTAATTAATGAAAAGGATATGTAATTTGTAACCAATGAATGTTGATGCCTTTGTTTGTGCAAAGTAGGGAGCTGGGTAGTAACCCAGAAAACACTGATCATCAAAACTTCACACAATTTATACATTTTAACAAACTGGAGTAAAAAATAGAAATACCTCTCCTCAGTGTGTGAATTGGCCATGCACACCATGTAAGAAGCCAATGTTCAGGATAACAGAAGGACAAGGGTTTCAAAGCTTCACATGCTTTTGGAAACCAAAGCATGTGTGCAAGTGACAACTGATATTATCATCTTTGAGCATAACAGGATATGAACCTCACTTGAAGGACAGCAAGTCATCTCAAGTGATAGCAAAGGTTCTTTGCAACTCAAAGAATTTAGTAACTCCTAAGTGTTTATTTTGGAGGTCTAAAGCCACAGAACATGTACTAAAGGCACAGAATTTATGTGACAGTGTTCACTACTCTTAAAAGCAAGAGTTAAATGGCTGCTGCCTTTGTCTGTGGTTTGTCACAGCCTTGCCTTTGTATAACTCCCTGTCTTGGAAGGAGCTTTGATATATCTTGAATGAGAAAGAAACCGTTATTTATAAAATATATCTCTTCTACATTTCCTTTAATTGCCACCCCCACATCCTTCCTTTACTGCGTATGTGAGCTCTCATTTGGTCAGGGTCACCTCAGAGATGAATCTCAAGTCCTTTGAATCTCAAGATATGCTCCTAGTTCAATAACTGTAAATTAAAAAATGTTCTTGAGAAGGCAGATGCAGGACAAGAGTGCAGCTGCACACTTAGTACTGCTCCACTGTGCTGTCAGTGGGTTCCTAACTGTGGCTGGTCCTCAGGAAACTAAAATTTATTTTTCTGCTTTAGCATATCTTAATCCACAGTTAGGATAACAAACATGTTTTAATGTTTTTCATTAGAAAGCAGGTTGTGACTTTATACTAGCTGAACAGAGCCTTAATTTGCTGAGAAAAGAAGACGAAGCAAATAAATCTAAGGAAGTAAAGAAATGAGACAACAGGAATGAGTTCTAACAAATGCAGAGTTTGTGCCGTAACACTGGGTCTGTTTTCTGGACCACATACTGTGTTGCAATGCCTGGTGAATACATGATGTAAAGTCAGACGTTGCTCTGTACGTGTAAGCGAGGCCAAGTGCTGCTACCATTCTGCCTCGTCCTCCCGGAGAGTTCTGCGGTGCTGCATCCTGTCGCCGTGGCATCTGCATTCTCAGAGGCCTGAGCAGTACCTTCTGTCTCTGCTGCAAAGTCAGCTTTTGACAGGTTTGACAAATAAAAATCCCTGCACTGTTGTTTGCATGAGGAGAATATTAACTCTTGCATTGTAGACAAATCCCATTCTGTATCAAAATCACACTGCTTTAAATTCACCTGTCTCTTCACCACTGTTTTTTTTTGTATGCTGTGCTGCACTGATGCCCTGTGTGCTGCTTAAGTGATTGTCCCAACCTCACTAAAGGTGAATGACCTGGGGTTTACAGGAAGATGTCCCACTCATAGTTTTGAGATCCTCTGTAATGAAGACTGTGCAGATCTAATTTATTACTGTGTTTGATGCACAGGAGAGCAGGACAATTTGACCTTGCAATTTTATGCCCTGCTAAGCGACTACAAGGGCTTCTTAGCTGAAATCGTCCCTTTCTAATTTTAATTTATTCTGTATCTGGGCAGCTGACAGTTTAAGGAGCTGCTGTCAGGCTACAAATATCTTTGCCTAAGGCTTTGGACTGACCCATCCCAGTGACACAACCATGGAGGGAGCCAGGGTGACTCCAGATTCTCAGTGTGTTTCTGTCATCACCTTGTTCCCTGTTCTTTTCTTCCTTTCTTCCCCAGAGGTATCTATTGTATATCAGCTCAGGAAGGTCACTTGCATGGATTCTTTTTTTTTATTTTTTTCTGGTTGTCATATTTCCCCTGTGTCCTTGCAGCTTGCCTAGTAGGCTCATGGTCAATATCTGCATCAGGACTTCAGGCAGTTTTGGTTTTGCAGAAATATCTTTTATCTTCTATATCACATTTGTTGCATTCTGGTTTGGGGAGTGGGGATAAGACCTGTCCTACATCTACTTACCAGCTAATTTCTGCCTTTTTTTTTTCCTTAGCTCCTAATTATCCTTTTTCTTTCGTCACTTTGAGCCCTGCCAGCTCCCTGGGTTCTCCAGGAGTGGCTGCTACAAAGATGTGTGTGTTCTCCTCTGTAAAACCGGTCCTTGTTTTGTGTTGCTAGGCTACACCCTTCCAGCTGCCATTGAAGAAATGCTCCGTGGTGGGAAACGGTGGGATCCTGAAAAAGAGCGGCTGCGGCAAACAAATAGATCAAGCAGATTTTGTCATGCGGTAAGACAGAAACCTCAATGACACATTGTCCCTCCTTCCCCCTGCTAAGTCTCAGAGTTTTCAAAGCTATTCAGTTGCGATTAATCAAGTACAATTTGCCTTGTTGCCTCGCCTTTGCAGGATGCTTTGTACAGGCAACTTGGGTAAAAATGTGAGGAGAGGCAAGAAAAAAGAGCTTTGACTGGCTTCTGCAAATGGGTGTGTGTGGCGTGGGGGCAATCTACCAGTGGTTAAGATTGTGACAGATGGTGCAGTGTCTCAGGGAGGTACTGAGGAGCTGCTTTTCTCATTATTTTTGTAATGATAGGCAAGGTGTCATCCTGAGAAATGTCCTCTGAAACTCTAAATGCCATCTCTGCAACCCATTGAACTCAGGATGAGTAGGTGCTGGTTGTGAGGCAAGGCTTAAGATCTAAGTTGGCACAAGCTGAGATCTTCCTGTGTTTTTCTTCCCCCTGGCTGACTGTCTGAGAAAAGGCCAGACCTCTTTCCTTCATGCAGAGTTTTTGGGATTCCTCACATTTCCTTCCCTTCCAGCCTTCCTGAAGTTATAAGAACCTGTCAGAAGGGATGTTGAACCAGCTACTGCTTTCGTGATTGAATTTGACACTTTGTAGGTCTGCAATCTTTAAGGAAGAAAGACAGAAATTAGTTCCTCCCTGTTAAACATGAACAAGAGAAACATTGTGAAGGAGAAACCGGAGGAATACTCCCAAAGAGACGAGAAATGGAGGTTTTTTGGGTTTTGACATGGGTGCATAATGAACACCCACTTTAGCAAGTCTCCTTATTAGATCCTGAGGGCTTATTTGTAAAGCTGTACAAATTTGCTCCAAACCAAACAGTATTACTGTAATTTCCAGTTTGCATCTCAAAGACCAAAAATGCCTTCTATGTTAGAGTAAAGAAATAGAACAAACTAAAGGCAAAAGGAAACATATACTTAGAGCAGAAGATGCAAGGCACAGGGGAGAAAGGCAGCACGCTGATTGCCATTGCTGCAAAACTCCCTAGGTGTTCCACAGACTGGAACTGCATATAAGAAACTGCAGGGTGTATACCATGGTAATATTACCTAGATGCAATGGGAAACTGAAATGCTGTAGGAGCAATCAGTTGCAAAAACAATAGAAACTTAAAAAAAAAAAAACCAACAGCAGTTATTGTAGCTTGATGAGAAAAAAAAAACTTTTCTCTCCAGGGAGGGTAAAGCAACCACTATCTGGGCAAAACTTGTTTCGAATTGGAAATAAGTGATAGGGAGTTTCCTGCCAAAATCCAGTTGCTGTCTGCAGGCTATATTGTGTTACTGATGTGCAGTCATATTTGTGTGTCAATTCTTTTGGATTAGAAACTAATACACCCCTGGGAGAAAATATTTTTACAGCAGGTGAAAGACGGGATTTGGTTGATCTTTTATAAATCTGATTTCTATAATCTCAGAGCTGAGAGAGAAAGAGCACAGTGGTAACTTGCATAACATTTTTCGTTTTTTGAGAAGAAATCTGTGTAATATCTTCAAAGTATTTCTGCAGTGCAAAATGTCATGCCAGGTTTTGTCCTTGTTCTTTTCTTCCACCCACATGGGTTTTGATTTCACTTATGTGTATTTGCCATCTTCTCTCATATGTTGTAATCACTAAGGTTATTTAATGAGTTTAAACTCATTGCTGAGCATCTTCTACAAACACAGTTTTTCCAACACAAAGATGAAAAGAGCGGCAGTTTTCAGCCCCTAAGGCATAGCATGCTGCATCTGCAATGAAAAAAGTGCATGGCATATGGTTTACATGTTTTATAGTGTGGTTGTCTTCTGATATCTGACTGTTTTTCAAGTTTGTAATCCTTATTTCTAAGAAAAAAATTTGATTTTCTGCCTCCTGCTAATGCTTATTTTATGAGAGAAATGTTGGGTACTCACCCGAAGCCATGTTTTTGTCTCTGTTTTGATGATGTTTCCTTCTTTCCTGCATGTTCACAGACTCACTCCTCTGTACCAGATGTAACAGTAAGAGAATTAAAAAGAAGTTTCTTAGGATGAATATTTTATTTCTTGATGTACTCCTCACCAGCACAACACTTGGCACTCTGCTGGCATATTCAAGAAAATAATTAGAAAGGCCAAGAAGTTTCTGTTAACCAACTGATTTCTTACAGCTTTCTCTGGATACTCAGGGCTTTTCTTAATATTTAATGCACAAAAAGGTGGGAATGAGACTTACTGATGAAAGGAATTAGATGGGTTTAAACAATGCATCTGGGACTGCCTTATGAAAGAATTTTCATTATTGATGAAAATTGATGCTGAGATGATAAAAACCAGGGTGAGATCTTAGTCCTTCATAGTGCTTTTAAATAAACTTTAATCAAAAGCAGTTTCTTACAGCCCTATGAGTTAGTGTTTATGCAAATCAGAGAGCATTAAACTGTAATCTGGCAGAGGCATTTATGCCATCTTGCTGCCCTGAGGCAAATCACCTATGTATATGTTTCTTCACAAATATTTGTTTGACTTGCCATTGAAAACTGCTGCTGAGAGAGTTTCTACAATCTCTCCAAATAGTAATGATCTGATTAATTTGTATCCTACCCACTACTGGGGCAGGAAGCAACCTATTGCCAGATTTGATTTGATTTGATATTTTTTTATTTTATTTTACTTAGTTTTTATATTACTTTATTTTATGTAAGTATTTTTCAATTCTTAAGATTTTATCATTCTTTATGTCTGAGAATTAAGCTTCCATTATGCTTTTATTTTTTTCTTTCTTGTCAATGATTGCAGTTCCTGAAACCTCTTATTTTGGTTCCTCTTTTCTGGCTTCTTTTGAAGTTGTCTAGCTTCTCTTAAATTGTGGTAGACCAAACTAGAAGCTGTTTTGTAACTGTAATTGTGCACATTTGAACAAATACAGTCGTGAAAAGGAGAAAATGTTCCTGGAAAATTTATGTTTCTTGGTGAATGTGGTTGAATTCATCTATGTTCCACATAGGCCGGACATCACTGTCCCTCTTGGTATTTCCTGATGATGTGAAATGAAGAATACGATTTTGAGAGCTGGTATTTGTGTGCAAATACATGCAGATATAGCATTAGTGTGGGTTTTTTCTTACGGAATGTGGGGTATTTTGCATTAGCCAGAATTGCAGAGTGTGCTGTGTGGACACTGGTGCCCTCTCCGGGCACTGACACTGCACAAAGCCGTAACACGTGGAGGTGCAGCCGGGAATTTATGCAGCCTCATTCTACTGTCACAAGCACCTGGATCCCTTCTCCAGGCACTGCAGAGGTCAGTGAAAATGCACAGAGGCAGTGACTGCTGTGGAAGCGAGGGCTTTCCTTGTGGTGAGGCTGATTTTTCCCAACGTGGCAGACGCGAACAGCAACCCGTAATAAATACAACAGCCCAACAGTTGCTGCAGTAGCCCCTGGAAACTGCTGTAAAAACTGAGCCATAGCTCACTTCCCCAGCTCCTGCCTCTCACTAGTGTTGGAAAGAGGCCTCTGAATTGTTAAGATTAAAATGAAAAAAATCAGATAAGCAACTTCTTGTTGTTGGACTCGGGGGTTTCATTACTGACATGGACTGTCTGGAGGATGCACGCAGAATTGGAGTGCTACAGAGAGGTTAATGCAGAAGATGGTGAGAAAAATGATGTGGCTCTTCACAGGTGTAAGAAATGCATCAAAGGAACCCATGTCTCTCTGGTACTGAGAAGAGAAGTCATGAATGTGGAACAATTCCTCTCTGAGCCACTGCCTGCCCTCTTCCAAAGCTGGGGTCTGGCCCTGTGTGGGGGTGACTGTCTGCAGAGCTTAAAGCAACCAGGGGCTGCTTAAGCCCCTTCTTTAGGGTCAGTGTTTGCTCAGCACATGGTCTCAGTGGGGCAGGAAGAGACAGGAGCTGGCCCCCAAGCATGACCCTCGTCTTCCTGTACCTCATGTGCTCCCTCTCCATGCTACACTTTCCCAGCCTGCTGCAGAAAAACAAACCAGCGTGTGCAAATGGAGATGTCTTGATTTGGTGGTTGAACTTCAAAATTGGAGGTCAAATTTGGTTATGGTAGAGTTCAAAACTGGTTTTTGTTTTTCTTTTTCTTTAGAAATCCCCAGCGAAACCCCAAAACCCAACAACATAAACAACTAAAAGTGTTTCTCTGGGAAAAATTCCAAATTCCACTCGTTTTTTTTTTTCTTGGTAAATTCTGTACACTGAAGGTACCCCATAGTGAAATATTTAAAATGACAATTTTGCTTGCCATGTAATGCTTGTAATACCACAGAGTGGTAGCAGTCTGAAGCTTGATACTGGTAGATGAGGCAGACCAGAGTGCAAAGCAGAACTTTAGAAGAGTTTGGATAAAAAATTTCTAGAGATAATAAAAGCCTCTTCCACAGCCTTTCAGCCTGTCAGAAATGCCAAATGTGTGCCTTTGTTTTTGCTTAGTAGATAGATAGATATCATCTCTGCAAGAGGTTTTATTTCTGTATTTCCCCACAGTCTGGTACAAAAGTGTCCTATTGTGTTTGTAGGTCTGGTGCAGTAGGGAACATTTGGTCTGGTATTTATACATCACTTTTACATTTTCTGAAGCCTGTCAATCCTGAATGTCATTTAAAATCTTGACTGTCTTTCTGTGCACAGGTGCAACCTTCCTCCTCTATCCAGTGAATACAGCAAGGACGTTGGATCAAAAACCCAGCTGGTGACTGCAAATCCAAGTATAATTCAGAAAAGGTAGACAGCATATTGTTCCTTTCCTGGTCGGGGGGGAAACAAAAAAAAAAATGCTTCATCTGTGTTATAGATACATCAGAGTTGTGTTCTTAATGATGATCTGATCCTGGAAGGGGATTTAAAAAAGGTGAAATAGGCAATGGCTTGGTGCTAGGTGAAATAATTAAAGACTAAATGCCTGATCCTTTCATTATAAACAGGGAAACTAAGGAAGGTTGGCTTTTACAGAGTTATTTCGTTTACCAGACTCCCCTCAGTGCTTCCAACTCCTACCCTTTTCCATGTGCTGGGCCTGTACCCGAGGTGCCTTGGCTGCTCCCAAGCCAGGCACCTACTGATGGGTGTCCCAGGCTACTCTACTGATCAGACCAGCTGGCTGATGCATCCCACAGTTACTGAAGATGCTAATTTGGGTTTCTCTTTGCTTCAGCACCGATAATCTCTGGGTCTTCACTGTTTTTGTATTCTTTGTTTGATAATGACTTAAGGAGTACAAAAGGTTAGGATGGAACTCCTTGACAGGTTGTGATCATACAAGCTTTGCTTTCTTAGGAAACTGGGACAGATTTTTGTTGTTTATTAGAGTTGGTTGAAATTTTCCAAATGTCAGTAGCTGATGAGAGAGAGGAAAAAAAAAAGTCAGTGCCATCTCTCTGATTTTGCCTTCCTGAATTTTAATTGCTGTATTTTTTTGTTTATCCCCTGGAATGAGGTAGACTGTTCTCAGGCAGAAAAAGGATCTGGTAGTAACCTGCCATGTTCACTGAAGAACACAAGAGAAAAGGCATAAACCAAGGGGATGAACAGGAAATGATTAGGCATAAAGAAATGTATAATGGGAGCACTGGGAGGTGAAGGATTGTGAAAGGAAGCAAAGCAGGGAAATAAAATACATAATAGAAAGCCAGGTGTTTTAGAAAGAAGAAAGGCACTGGTTTGGAAATTGATGTTTGATGGCACTTAAATGTAGTATTTTTCCTCTCTAGCAGAATTGAAGGGTTCTCTAGTTTTGTGTGTGAAAAAGATGTCAGTCTTTGACAAAGTAGAAAAGAGAGGGCGAGCAAGAGGGAAATGGAGTAGTAATCATCTCCAAGAGCTGATTCCAGGCAGAGAGTGCCTGAATAGGGAAAGGCACAGAAGTGCTTGTGGGATGAGATCAAAGCAAACCAAGCAAAATTGTCAGGGGATGGCACGAGGTGCCAGGCAAGAAGAGGGGCAGTGAACGTGAAGACAGGGAATCTGAAAATCCTGTGGGATGTAGATGGTGGATGAGGTTCATTTATGAAGTTGAATGAAATGGCCAGAATATCCCATCAAGGAAAGGAGATCAGTTTGGCTGTGGCATTTTGGATGAAATGAAGAGGAGCAGTATGAAATATAAAGATTGCAAAAGATTTTACAGTTTTCAAGGCAAAGGATTATTTAACTCAGGGATATTTGTTTTGCACCCTCCCCTCCCCTTCTTCAAGCCCTAGAATAGAAAACTTACTGTACTTAGTATTTTTGAACAGAAAAGGGAAGGTGTTTTAGTGATGATACAAGGAGAATGTGTAACTACACTAGAGAGACTGTAGAGTTATCCAGCAAGAGAGAAAGGAAGGAGTGAGCAGATGGTTGAGGAACCAGATGGAGAGAGCGAGGTGCTACTTTGTGAGAGGTGGGTATCACAAGGAGTGATGGGGGGGTGGGGTGGGAAATGGGGAAAAAAGAAAGGGAGGAAGGAAATAGGATTGTGATCAATGTAGTTTTCAAAGTGAGTGAACAATAACTGCAATGCAAGACCTTTGATGAGAAAGTAATGTGGAGTGCATATGCATGTGTATTGATTAGGAGGAAATCTACAACCAGGAACTGAGAATGACACAGGGAACAAATTTATAGTGCTGAAAATTGGCAGAAACCTCCTCTGAGGCTTGAAGCTCTTCAGAGATCTGACACTTTGCTTCCTCTGCCTGGTCCAGAAGGGATTTTTTTTTTTTTTAAATAATAGTTGACTGATGTTTCCAGTGTGCTCTTCAAACTAATTATTTTACCTCCTGTGTGTTAAGATAGAGTGGAGGGGAAAAAAACGTTAAATTTTGGGGGTAAAAATAGAAACAAAGACTACCACTCTGTCATCAAATTCTACAGAAAGAAGTTTTTTAGGGAATTAAGACTGCTTTTAAGTCCAGACTTTCATGAAATTCAAGGATGTTCAGATTGGTGGCTGATATGTGTCTGTTTCTAAGCTGTAAGTTAACTAGAGTCACATAATGGTATCGTTCATTATCATTCTTCTCCTCTCCTCTTGTCCTTACTTGGAGTAGGTTGATATTGATGAGGCTTGACATCTCAATTATCTCTCAAGTGTGTTATGGCAGGTTTAGTGAATTGGTCTGGCAACACCATTCATGGCTTCTAAAAGATTTATCCTTGCCGGATAATTTATGATGAGGCATATTGCATAGGGCAAAGTTTTCATGCCAGGGATGTAGAGGCAATTTTCTGTGTGGTTCTAAAATCAGAATTAGTGCCTTTAGAAAATCAAATTGTTGGCAGTAATTATTGCAGAGATGCCACCATTTACCTCCAGACTTAGAGCCTAAGGATGGGAGAGTCAAAATTTTAATCTGGGAGTACATTGACTCTGGAGATACCTTCTAAACATTGCCTTTTGCAAAACTTAGAGGTCAAGTTCCTACTCTGTTTTCAGCAGGAAGTGTAACTGTGCAGGTAGTACAGTTTTCACTTGTGAAATGTTTTTCACAGTCCTTATTTGGGTTTGAAAAATGATGGGGAATTTCCTATCCTAACTTCACTTAGTATAATACGGGAGAACTGACAATAGATGTATTATGGTAGAAATTTTCCCATCTGACTAAGAGGACGTGTGATGACTGTCCCAGTTTCTCTTTCTGTCTAAAATATTTCACAGGCATCTACCTTCAATTAATAGTGGAACTCTCAGTCCTTCAAGCCCGGGGAAAACTCCTTTTTCCACTTTGTATTCCAAACTTACTTTTCTGTCAAACCTTGGCTTGAGGTGCCAGTTGGGATTGAAATGTTGCATAAAGCTACTCCTGGGGCCAGTGTGACCTCTCCCCCCCTCTATCCCCCAGTATTGTTGCGGGACTGCAAAAAGGTTGGCATCACTGATGTTTCCAGTTCATTCCCCTACCATCCTAATCAGCTTGGCCTTATCTGCAGGGAACAACTTTGTAGGCAGAAGATTATTCTATATTTGTCCTGGGTTTTATTTTCTTTCCATGAGTAGCTGCTCTAAGTCCCTACCAGGAAAGAGGCAGTGCAGTAGCGAGACCTGTGATGTGCCTGCAGCTGTTCTTAGACTCTGGGAAAAAATCAACGAGGTTATCTCACTTACAGTGATTGTTTCTATATTCTGAACACTCTTCTACAGCTGTAAAGAGGGACTAGTCAGCAGGTAGCATGTGAAGGTAAAAATACTTTGTAGGTAGTGATGATATTCAGCCGCTGGCATGAGATTTTTAACTAAGAAATACAAAGAAGGTACTATTTGGGATGTGGATTATTATGTGTTTCTAGAGTCACTGGATCTGGGCTGTTTAGGAGAAGCAAATTCTGTGAACCTGCTGTCATCTCCAATAACTCTTGCAAACATCATACAATTATACTCTTTTGTCTAAACTTTTAATTAAATCTGCAAACAAGTGCTGTTTGCAGCAATATTCCTTTCTAGTCGTCACATTTGCTTACTCCGTCGAACCCAGGCACACTTATATCATCAGCAATAGTCCAAATAGATTGTTTCCCAGCATTCAGTGAGTTTCAGGTCAACTGATGTTTGTTGGTGAGTATTTTATCCACAAGTTGTGAGAGTTTTTCTGGCCTGTGTAGAAAAAATCCCGCTAGAAAATGGCACGGTGACTCGCAGCGTTCTTTATTCACCATAATCCAACATTGGTGTAACTGACAGAAGTCCTCGAGGTATTAACACACACCTCCCTACACCATTTTTGAAACGCAATCCCTCAAAGCAGGAGCTTTGTGCCTGCAGAGCTGAGCTCTGAGGCAGAGCTGTCTCACTCCTGTTTCATGTCCTCTCCCCTCATCAATAAATCCACTTGGATGAGGAGCAGTCATTCCTGTGTGTGTCTAGGGCTTTGGAGGTTACCCTAGTTAGATTAACTGTGAAAATTTCTGTGAAATACCTCTGCCAGAGACAGGTGAATCCACATTTCTGCTACTACAGTGATTCTACTGGAGTGTGCCTTGTTGCTTTGAATATAGAAATAAGTGAAGGGTTAGTTGAAGTGGTATCCATCTTCATTCTTTGAAATGTGTATGTTTTTACTTAGATCTTCACGGTGAAGTCTCTCAGCAGTTGTGTAACATTACCAATGGAAATAGTCTGACTGAAACTGGGATAACCAGATTTAGGATCAGCTGTTACACTCTGCAGCTCAATATGAACTTCCATCACTGAATGTGAACATTTTTCTTTCAGTAAATTAATTCCCTTTTTTGATCTCTGTGATATTTGACAAGTTTTTTCTGCATCCAGTTTCTTGCACTAAAGCATGATGAAGGAATGAGACTAAAGGCTAACAAATGCAATGATTCTGCCTCTGAGCTTTGAAATGTCAGTTAAATATCGCTGCTGTTTATTAGGTTCCCATGGATTTTGAGTGGGATTAAATTTGCTTTCCGGTGTTCCCTGCATCTTAGAGACAACTAATAATCTTTCCTGGATTCAGTCCTCAAGACATCTTTGAATCCTACTGACTTACACCATTATGAATAAAAAGATGGAACTGAGGCAATAATTTAATTTAATAAAAGCTTCCTTCATCTCTGATTAAACAATTGTACAATATTATACCTCTTGCTGACACACATGAAAAAGAGAATTCCTCTTGACTGTGTCTCCATGTAAAAACTATATATTCTGTTCCTAGGTAGTTACATTATTATTTAGTAATTGCTAAAGCTCAGAAAAATAAAGACAGAAAACTACTCATAAAACATGTTATTGAAGGAAA